AATTAGGTAACAGTCCTGAGGAGTGGGACATACTGCCAGATTCTCGCTTGAGCGAGAGGACCTCGCCCAAGCGAGAGGAGCAGTGTTTTGAAATTGGAAAAATTTGGGAGTCTCGCTCAAGCGACCGAGGAAGCCTGTTGGGACTGTGAGATTCTCGCTTGAGCGAGAGCGTCAGATATGAAATTTTAAAAAGGCGAGATTTTCTCGTCTCAGCGAGAATGGGCTCGCTTGAGCGAGAATCCAACGACTGCTCTTTAAAATAGAAACCTCAAACACATTTTAAGGTTAGAACTTTGAAGAGAAGAGAGAGAGGAGAGCTTTTCAAGAGCAAAGAGCCTTAGGAATCATCTTAGAGCTTGAGAAGAGGTAAACCTCTTGTCCCTAACTCTTCTTCTTCCTCTCTAACTTTTTTTGGGTATGTTGGATCTCTTTTCAAAATATGAGAAACCATGGAAACTCATCCTTTAGAGTTATGGTTCATTTTATGTTGTTTTTCTCTTGTAAACTCTTGGTTTAGAGTTGGTATTTGGTGAATGGAAAGGTTTTGTGGGTTATTCATGAAAACCCCAAAAACCCCAAAAAATGAGAATATGAGTAAAAAGAGAAATGGATGAAATGTTAGATGTGGATGATGAGTTTGTGCTTTGATGTTGATATATGGGATGAACATGTATGTTTAGATGTTTGGAAACTTGTGTTGAAGTAGTTTTGGAAATCTTGAAAATATGTGAATCCTTTGTATGTTTGATGATGAAATACGAGTTGTTTATATGTTATTTTGAATAAATGACTGACATTGTTGTTATTGGTGGAAATGAGGAAAGATCCTAAGGTTGGAGGAAATCGCGGAGGAGACTTTTAAAGTTACTCGGAACCGATCTCCAACACTCACCAAGGTAAGGGATAAGTGTCTCTAAATCATACTCGCTGATGTGAATGAGGTATGTGAATGAGGTAATGTATTTGTAAGAGTATTGTTGTTGTCCTACCCGGAGTGGTAGTGGTTTATTGTTGTTATCCTACCCGGAGTGGTAGTGGATTATTGTTGTTGTCCTACCTGGAGTGGTAGTGGATTATTGTAAACTCGACCTGCCCGATGTGGTATGGGGATAACTCGACCTGCCCGATGTGGTATGGAAATAACTCGACCTGCCCGATGTGGTATGGAAATAACTCGACCTGCCCGATGTGGTATGGAAATAACTCGACCTACCCGATGTGGTATGAGGGATAACTCGACCTGCCCGATGTGGTATGGGGATAACTCGACCTGCCCGATGTGGTATGGGAAATGAAATCGATGAATACGATTAACGGTGAATATGAAGGATGAAAATGAGGATGTGAATGATAAAAGTAATATTCATGCTATAGAATATATATTATGGGATATATATACTATAGGGTGAATATGAAGGATGACAATGAGGATGTGAATGATAAAAGTAATATTCATGCCATAGGATATATATTAGGTGATATATATACTATAGGGTGAATACGAATGATGAGAAATGAGAATGTTAGAATGAAAGTAATATGCATGCTATAGGATATATATTATGGGAAATATATACGATAGGGTGAATATGAAGGATGAAAAGGAAGATGTTGAGAATGAAAGTAATATACACGCTATAGGATATATATTATGGGATATATGTTCTATAGGGTGGGTATGAATAATGAGAAGGACGATGCCTCGAAAGAACGTAATATGCATGCTATAGAATATATATTATGGGATATATATACTATAGGATGAATATGAGTAATGTGGAAATTAAAGGAAGAAGATATGAATGTTTACAATTATGTATTTGTGGTTATAAATTATATTAAAGCTTAATCGTATTTGAGATGTGGATTATCATGTGATGTTAGTTTTTGAACTAATGACTTACTCCCTTGTTTTGTGTGTTGTTTATGATAATCCCATTGTAGGTAAACGAAGGATTTGAGGAGGAAGCTCACTTAGGAATCTTATGTGTTTATTAACTGGAATGCCTTTATCGTTACTTTGACATTGTAGTTGATTAGATAACATGTTGGGATGAATGTAAATCTGATTAGGATATTACTGGAGATATGTAGTTATGGACGTTATAACTCTGGGAAACCCATAACTGGTCGTATGTGGTAATTACTCATTGAATTAATTATGTTTTTCCGCAATATAAATTGTATGTTAATATGATAGGTGTAAAGAGTATTAATTATGTTGTCATACATTCAAGATACCTTAAAAATGCTACTCCAACTTTCTAAGTTGTACTTCATAGTTTTGAAGAGTCAATGAGTAATTCCAAAACCTACTCCCACTTTCTAAGTTGGACTTCATAATTTCCAAGAGTCAAAGTAATTCCAAGACCTTGGAATAGCCTTCATTGAATGTATTCAGTGGATCATCTGCCAATGTTTATTGGTTATGCTTTCACATTAATTAGGAAGGATTCCAAACATTTAACAACATCAGGTTGAGAGAGCGTGATTAAATATCTACTTTCAACCAAGTAATAATACTCGCTTGATAGATTACCATTGAAAGTAGACAAATGGTGGGGTTCATCTAAGGACAACAAGGTGGATTGTAACATTAGAGTGAAACATTGCAAAACTTAGTGAGAAATATAAACAAATATAAAATAAGTTGTGAGATCGAATTAAAGACAATAAATTAGTTGCAGAGGATACTTTGAGGCATATTCAATAAGCTACTAGTCATTTAATATTTATATGCTAATCTTTTTAAATAGTTTTGTTTGTATAGTCAAATGTTGCCCTTCTTTTGGTACATGTGAGAAATGGAGAAGTTGATATCATATACAATTTTTTCCCCAGTTTGATACAATAAAGAATGGGAATGAGAACAAAATATGAGTTGAATCAATACATCATTATTATATGATACTTATTATCTACTATACTATAAGAATGGAAGGGCTGGTGCTATTACCATTTTAGACATCATATATTGTTGACACTTGGATTATAAAGGGGTATCTTTGTAATAAAAGCTGGTGTTATTACCATAATAGTAATCCTCAATTATTGACATATGTATGTTGGAGGGGTTAATTATGTCATTTTGAATACATATTTTAAATTTTGAAATCATAAACATTTTAAGATTGACACGTGTAGCTTAGTGCATTTGTGAAGGATGAATTTTCATTTTGTTTCTCTGAACACATCTCTCCACTCATCAAACTCATCTCTCTTGGTACCAAAAAACTCATATCTCTCCTCTATGCTACTCAAACTTATCTCTCCTCATCTCTTTTCTTTCTTCATCTCAAATCCATCAAACTCATCTCTCTTCTTTCTCAAAAAAAAATTATGCTCAAACTACTAAACTTATTGCAAGGTAAGAGGTATAAATAAGGTAACAAATTTTACTCATTTCCCCTCACCATTTTTTTGTAACATAAGAGTTTTTGCATGTTCATTGTGTGTCAACTGTTATTTTTTTAAAGTATGCATTTTCATTTCCATTTGGAATGTTCATTGTGTATGTCTCTATCATTTTGTCTCAGTTAGAATTTATTTTTTAAGAAAATGTCTCTCACTCCCTCTAGATTTTTCATTTTCACTCCGTCTCATAAAATGTATGCATTTTCATTTCTGCATCAAATCTGGATTTTTCTTTCATGTTGTGTTAGCTTCACGATTGATGTGATTTTCCCTTCAACTATGTTACTTGACATGTCTATCCCATTTTTCACTATGTATGTTGAATCATCAAGCATAGGAATGGTGGATGTAACAAGCATGGTCGTGATCACATCAAGTTTATTCGTTGCTTCAATTTGTGGAAAATGTTTCCCCAAGGTATTTTCACATTTTGTCATTTTTATGTTAATGATCATAAGGTGTTTGATGAAATGTCTAAATGATTGTGGTTTAAGTTTTATGTGTGCTTAACGAGAAGTCTTTATTTGAGCATCTCTATGTTGTTGGGTGCTCACACTTTGATTGTTAGCATCTTATGGAATAGGCTTTGATATGGTTAACCAATAATTTACACATAATGTATAAGAAGTATATAATATCAAGGGTAAAAGAAAACATTATACATTCTAAAATTCCTGTATTTGACTGTTGATCTCTATTTTTCAGTTACAAGATATGGAAATGAAGCACAAAAATAAAGACATCTGTAAGGAAGCTTTCAAGAGTCAGTTCCGTGGAGTAAGTTTTATGTTCTTCATTTATAAGTCTGATTATTTTTTATTTTTTGCATCTTAACCTTTAGGAGAATGTATTGATCATAGAACTTTAGAAAAGACTATTTCAAATTTAGAGATGAATTTGACTGCTATAGGGGTAGCTCAAGAGTCTATACAAAATGTCTTTCCTTTTCCACAAGGTATAAGCATGACTGAATGATTTGGTAAGAGAAAGTACTTGGTGGTGGTAGGTGCATTTAGCAGCCACAAGGTTCATAATTTAATCCTTTTGCAGTTATTTTTATGTCACTAATTTTTATTTTTGGGTATGGTTTGAGATGTTGACTTATGACAACAATTTAGGTGGTAAAATAAAGAAGCTAGATGAAGAGAAGGGCATTATCATGCACTTTATGATTGGACATAGGTAGCAAAGTCATTTTTCCTTCAATTATTTGGTTACATAGTTGGCAATTTTATCATGCTTTTGTTTTTATTGCATTTGAAAATGCTTTGGTAAAAGATAACTTTAGTTAGATAATAATTATATCTTCAAGTTGTATTGTTAGACAACATAAGATGTTAGCAAAGTCATTTTTCCTTCAATTATTTGGTTACATAATTGACAATTTTATCATGCTTTTGTTTTTATTGCATTTGAAAATGCTTCGGTAAAAGATAATTTTAGTTAGATAATAATTATATCTTCAAGTTGTATTGTTAGACAACATAAGATGTTGTAAAGTATTATCATTGATAATATTCATTTTTAGTTATAGCTCATAATTATATTCAATGAATAATACTTTGCCACTACTGTGAACTTACGGGATGTTGATTTCTATGTCAAAGGTATGTTTTTTCATGTTCTTGATGTTGATTTTTTTCTAAGTTACTGGAATATTGATTTGTTTGAGTTACGAGAATGTTGATTTCTATGTCAAAGCTTCTTAAACAATTTTTTTGAGTTACGAGAATGTTTTTTATGTCTATTTTTTCCTGATGTTTTCTCATGTTCTTGATGTGTAGCGTCTCATACTCACCTATGCTTTTTCTTAATTACGTGAGTTTTGATTTTTTTGTTCAACGTTTACAAACAAGGTGATATTTTTTAGCCATTTCTGTTGAATGAAGCTTTTTTTTTATTTCAAGATAACATTTTTTCTATGCATGCATAATCTTGAAGTATTTGCAAATCTGTAAAGATTTTCCAATTTTCTTGAGCTTATCCTTTTTAGTTTTTTAGATTGCTTGATTAAATAGTCAGCTTTTTTTCCTCCATATTTGTGGTTTTTTATTGTTTCTTGTGTGAAGGGTGTCATTGGAGATGGACAAGATATTCTTGTGAGGGTACATTCAGAGTGTCTCACAGGAGACATATTTGGATCTGCCATATGTGATTGTGGGAATCAACTTGCACTTGCAATGCAAAAGATTGAGGCAAGTATGGAATTGGTGCACATGTAATTATAAAACAAATAAACAATGCCTTGAATATTAAACATCTTATACTCACTCCGTGTTTTTCTCTTCTAAACTCATGTTGTTTTAAGATGATTATGAAAGTTAACCAACATGTTATTGATTATGCAATATATGAATTCCAGGTTTTTACTTACACCATTGTGTCAAAAAGTTAGAAATTGAAATTTTACTTGCAGATATTAAAACAATCCTACAAAATATGTTGGGGTCAAAGGTTATGGGTTGACAATTTCTGGTAGGATCCAGTTGGTGATACTTATCACCACATGAAGATAGATATATTGTTGTTCTGGAATTGGATGATGTAGCAACAACATTGTTAGTATTAGGCAATGCTCATTGTGATTTTTTTCTTTAACAGTTTAGATTTGATTCTAAAATTGCAATGTTACTATTGCAGTATTAAAACAGTAAGAAACATATCATAAAAGGAATATTAATTTTTTGATGAATTCAAAATTTTATTTGTTAGTAGTTAATTTAAAGTAAAATAATAATATGTATTTTGAAAATAATCTTATTTTAGAATATATAATAAATTTATTGATAATTTTTTAATTATTAGGATAATGATGTGTTTCTCACTATTTTATAAAGTTTGATATTCTTCATCTTCAAATAGAGCAATACGAATTATAACAATGTATTTTTCTATCTCTATCCTACCGGAAAAGATGTACAAGTTTTTTAATGTGTTATATAGTAAAATTTCACAGTTAAATTAATACGATTTCAATCAAAATTATTTTTGATTTCTTAATTTTAGTCAATGCTCATTATAAACATAGTTTTATAATTATTTGTTGTTTAATTCTAAAATAACTAATAAAATATGTATAACTCATGTATTGTAAATGATAGAAATAAACATCTATAATGGGTTGTTTGTAGTTAATTTAAAGTCAAATAATAATATGTATTTTGAAAATAATTTATGAAGTGTGATGTTCTCCATCTTCAAATAAGGCAATAAAAATTATAATAAAGTATTTTTCTATCTTTATCCTATTGGAAAATATGTACAAGTTTTTTTTATATGATACATAGAAAAATCTCACAGCTATATTTTAGGCAATGCTTATTATAGATATAATTTTATAATTTTTTTTAAATTCTAAAATAACTAATAAACATGTGTATAACTCATAACAAATATGTATTGTAAATAATAAAAAACTGAATATTTTTTTATTATTTTTGTTTCATTATATAATATATTAACAATTCTAATGATATATTTATATAATCATTATACTATTTTGTAATGAACTAAATAATGAAGATGCATTGACTTTTATATTATCACCCGTGCGAATGCACATGTAACCTACTAGTTGAGTATAAAAAAGTGAAAGGAATATATTGTCACTGTATAATTATATAACTGATATCTAAACTATATATAAAGCCAAAACATGAAATAACTACCTCTATGGTGTAATTTCATTTTCCTATTTTGCCCTTACATTTTTTAATTTCTACAAAAAAAAAACATATAATCCTAAGTAACTACCATTAGCACATTAATCACCACTCACCTTAAATTGAATTATAATAAATACAATTTTTAATATAAAGTACTCTTAATACAAAAACATTCTAATTGTATAAAATAAAATATATAAAAATTAAATAATTAATACAATAAAATATGAATGCAGGTCGGCAAACACGAAGTGTCTGTCGATACGCTAGTATATATAAAGGGAAATGATCTGATTACTCTAAGAGTAAGTGAAAAAACCTACTCCACATTATTATTTTTCATTATTGGGAAATCCAATGGTTTGAATTGACAAGTACATCTAAACAATTGAATTTTCCAATATTAGATACTAAGATGTAAAGTATATCTTTTTCACTTACTCCACATACAAATGGTGAATGATGTGTATAAAAAAATGTATGTAATGATACCGTAAGAGTTTTTTATAGTATATTGCATCATCCATAATTCATTTTCAATAATCATTTATTTTTAAATAAAAATAATACAAATAAACGATGGGATGAATGATTGTATAAATATTTAGGCCGATATTAAACTCTTATTGTAATTATTTTATCTCTAATGTAAAAAAAAAGTAGTCATGAAGAATAATACTGATTATCATTCCTCATAAATGTAGCTTTGTTCATTAATTAAGAGTGACACAGTAAATTTTTCAGATCCAAATCTGTGTTGTTACCAATTTCAATCTCATTCTTTCAATGAATCCATTTTCTTCACCCACTCGTCTCAGGTAAACAATGAAATTCATCTTCTCTCATTCACCACTCAGAATAACCTCATTTTTCTCTTATTATTCCTGATTAGTGAATGATTATATTATTATGATATTGCTAATTTCAGATCCTATGTTACTATATATTGCTTGTAATTGAAAAAAAAAACAAGTGATACCAAATCGTTTGGTTTCGATCTTACTCAAATGGTGTTGCTATTGATACATGCATTGTTACTTGAAAATGGGTTTATTGCTATTATGGGAAAGTTTGTGTGTTTGGTATAATCTGGAATAATTTATCAGTGTGCTGTTTTCTCTTTTATTTATGAGACATTCTTTATGACGAATCTGTTACGTAATACGCGGTATGGTGAATAGGTAGGGTGAATTAGAGAATTATTTATTTGTCAGTTGATTTTTATTTTTAAGTACTTTTTGTGTGGAAAATCCAATATAGTTAACATATTGCTAGTTTTTCTCGCAAATTTTTTAATTGTGTTATACTATTTATATATTCTAGTTTAATCATTATAAGTATCTTTTAACTGTGTAGTTCATATCCTCATTTTGTAGGGACATGATCCGTGCTATACGAGCTTCTAAAACTGCTGCAGAAGAACGTGCAGTGGTAAGAAAAGAATGTGCTGCTATTCGTGCTTCGATCAATGAGAATGATCAAGACTATAGCCATCGGAATCTGGCTAAGCTAATGTTCATCCACATGCTTGGCTACCCGACACATTTTGGTCAAATGGAATGCCTCAAGTTGATAGCAAATCCTGGATTTCCAGAGAAGAGAATAGGTTACCTTGGCCTTATGTTGCTTGTTGATGAAAGACAAGAAGTTCTAATGTTGGTCACCAATTCTTTGAAACAGTATCCAGTTTCAAGTCAATGTTTTCATTTGTTTTTTGTATTCCTCAATTTTTAGATTTCATTTTACGAAAATGCGAGGGAAGAATTTTAAAGATGGATATCGTAACCTTAACCGAGTTATAGAGATCTTAATCACACAAATCAGTATATAGTGGGACTTGCTCTTTGTGCTTTAGGAAACATTTGTTCAGCAGAAATGGCTCGTGATCTTGCACCAGAGGTTGAGAGATTACTGCAATTTCGAGATCCAAATATTCGGAAGAAGGTGATGTTTTCATTATATTTCATATCCATTGAACAACAATTTATTTCTTCTGGAACATTTAAGCTTCTTGATACATGTATTGGGTATTTGGATTTTTGTTAAATTTAAGCTTGAAGGAGGTGATTGGTTTTGTAACTTCTATGTTATTATTCTGCAAGGTGATGGATTGTTCCTTGTCTCTGTTTCTTAATTTCATGTAAACTGTTTACTTTATGGATTCTATAGAATTTTGTAACATGAATTTGGCAAGAGTAAAGAATTGACTCGGATATTACACAAAACAGATGTCATGAGACATACTTCTGTTTCATGCAAAATTGTAAATTTTTTGCCTCTATCTTTGTGTGATTGCTAAATTGTGTAAAACTTCACATGTCCTATCCATTCCTTTCCAGTGAAGATGTACACTGACTTGATAAAAGTGTCTTAGTAAAATGAAGATTCCTCTGTTCAGTTTTTTTCTTCCATTTAGCATTTTTGATAGCTGGCAAATATCTGAATTTTTTGATCAGGTTCAAGGAAATGTGTGTTAGATAAGTAAAATTTCAAGCGTATTTTGTTTTCTAGGTATTAATTTCGATGAGCATCAGCTATGAAGATTTATGTTGTGGCACCCAACTAGGGAGTCTGCTTTCATTCTTTGACATTAATGATGCTTACCTTATGGTGCCCTGTAGCACAGCTTTTTTTGGCAATAGAAACTGAATATTGTAACTAATTTGTGTTAGTTACTTTCTATTGAAACTGAAATTATAAAAGTGTACAAATGAGGTGTGAGTCACTCCTATTTATAGGAGAGAAGCAACACCTAGGCTATAGCAACAGTGAGATAAAATGAAATACAAAATAGTAAGTCTAATATTCTAATATACCCCCTGAATGTAGACACTCATTTTTCTCTCCTCTCTTTGCTTTAGCCTATACAAAGAAATACAAAGAAAACAGAAAAAGTTATCTTATTAGAGACAAGCCATCAATCACTCTGAGACACTTCCTCATAAGGGTGAATATGGATGCTGATAGAGGCTTGGTTAGCACATCTGTAGTTTGATGCTCAAATGGGATGTATTTCACTTGAAGAGCCTTGGATTGAAATCTATCCCTGACAAAGAATAGATCTAGTTCAATGTGCTTTGTCCTGTTATGTAGAACAAGGTTGTGAGCCATGGCAACAGTGTTGAGATTGTCACAAAGAATCAGAGGAGTCTGACATTCAAACTTCAGTTCTGAGAAGAGAGATTCAATCCAAATAACCTCATGAGTGGCTAGAGCAAGACTCCTATACTCAGCTTCAGTACTTGATTTAGATATAGTTTGTTGTTTCTTTGACCACCATGTAACAATGTTTGGGTCAATAAAAACACAAGCACCTGAGACGAATTTCTTGTCATCAGGATCAGAAGCCCAGTCTGCATCACAACAAGCCATGATAGAGAGAGGAATGGATGATGCAGCAGGCTTAACATGCAGACCAAATGATGAAGAACCTTGCAAATATATGAGAATCCTCTTGACTGCACTCCAATGTTGTTGAAGAGGTTGACTCATGAATTGGCAGACCTTATTAACACTAAAGGCGAGGTCAGGCCTAGTGATTGTGGCATA